GGGAACACAGTCTGGTTTCATGTGGAAAAAGTATTATTTTCATTTTGTGTATAAATATAGATTAATAATCTAACTAAGTTTACTTTTACTGACATAATAAAACAACACACCTAATTTAATTATCTACCATACTGAAGGATCTTAGGAGTGCTTTGACATCATTTGACCTAGTCCATACCTATGAAAAATGTGACCAAATGATTTAAAATTTAACCCTATATTATTATCAGTATATGAATTTCATCGTAAAGTATTCTTATGATGTTTTTACTAGTCTCTTGCTAAAGCATCATATATAAAATACACACTATTTCTAAATGTGTTAAAATTAGGAAAAAATATCAGACAAAATGAAAATTAAAAGTAATTGCATATTAGCAAGCATATTGTAGTAAAATATTGGCTAAATAAATGTCAAGGGCTACCATGCTGCACAATTATTTATCTGTAAAAGTAAATAATATTCTATTAATTTCTGATCACTTACTAGAGTCATGTGAAAACAGCAATATTAAAAGTCTGGTATGCTGTCACTCATTCTGCTAAACATCATTTTTTTTTTCTCAAAAAGGGCCCTAGATACACTCGGATATTAGCAAAACACATGGGTTATGTAGAATTACATTTAAATTCACCTTGTAATTTTTGAAAAGCTTATTAAACAGTGAGTCAATTGAAGCCTGAGTCTTTTCAATCATTTGCTTAACAATTGAATTATTATATTCTATTTTCCTAACCAAGATGATATAGCAAAAACTACCACAATAATTATGTGGTACAATGTAACCTTTGTTTTCTTGAATCTTCCCTGTGTTACACCTTTTGTTCTAAAAGTAGTCCTCTTCTTTCAGTAATACTACCTTCAAAAAAGCCTGTTAAATTTTAAAAATGAATTTTTATGTTTGATCCTCTAACTTGACATTTAGCATATGTTCCTAAATTTCTTGAGGTCAACAGCAATCCTTGTGTTTTATGATATCAAATACCTAGAAGCTTTCAATACATATGTATGCTATTGTTCTGTTGTTGGCAGAACTGATAAAATAAAATGAAAAAAATATTTACAGTCATTTTTAAAATATATTTTACTAATTGACACTGGAGTCCAAGAGCAGAGTACCAGAGCATGTGTCTCTTATAATAAAAGTTTCCTTTGTATAGATTATTAAAATAGTGTTTAAAATGCAAAGTTTAAGAAAGTAATCATATAGGATTAGAATTAGAAAGAGTTCAGGCATGTCAAACCTTTATTTCTACTTTTAATCTCAGTGTCTTAATATGAAGTAGCAGAGTTTATCCATAGGGTTTGAAATTATGCCCAGATTATTTTTGCTAGCTACCCTAGATTTTTTGTACTATCCACCCATGAGGAAAATTATCCCCTAAAATCACGATAAGAGTGTCTACCCAACACACAGCTCCAGATTATCACTTCTTCAAATGCTACATATATTTTTATTTATCATTCTTATCAAAGCTCTGTTCCAAGACTGACCTGCCTTCCTGCTTCTCCTCCAAACCAAGTCCTTCTTTATCAACTTTAGGTATTTTTCTGATTTTGCTTTCACTTAATGTCCTTTCTGCAAGTCCTCATATTTATACCTGAACATCCTACACATTTGGTTATAATATTATCCATTCAGTATTATGGTATCTGACACTCAAATGAGTATAATTTGTGGCAATGTTATTTAGATGTTCATTTTTATTATATGTTTTGTAGGTTCCATGAATATATAAATATTGGTCTTGATTTTCTCCATTAAAAACCTAGTACCTGACAATTTCATGACATATAACAGGTGTTTCCAAATATTTATTAATAGTAGATAGGTACGATGATGCCATACCAACACAGGGTAACAGAGTATAAAAATGTACTTTGGAATTTTTAGGGTAAAGAAAATGCCTACTTTATTCATAAATAATGTAGGGTATTTCAACATTTTCTGGAAAACAAAACAAAACTACACTAACCAAAAAAAAATCCTAATTATTATTTTCTTAACGTAATTTTTATCTTGATATTGAAATAAATTCAAATTCTGTTATACATTTAGTTCATTTCCATTAGTAAAAATTAGTTTATTTGTTAATAAATGGTGGAAGTTGCCAGGGATTTAGCTCAGTGGCATAAGTGACTGTCTGGCAAGCACAAAATTATAAATTCAATCTCTGGTACAAAAAAAAAAAGAAGAAGAAAGAGATTGTGGGAAATTCTTTTTCTTTCAGTTTTGATTTTTCTCTTCCTCTTTCTCTTCTTTTTTTCTCTGTTTTTTTCTTCTTTTTGAGGTTCAGGATCTGGTTAAATTGTCTAAGCTGAGCTCAAACTTTTGATCTTCCTGCTTAGTCTCCCACAGTGGTGGGATTGCAGGTGTGTACTACTAAACCAGGCTTTAGACTAGATCTTATGTTTTTAATATTCATGTAGAGAAGAATTTTGTCTTTCTGGTTTGTAGTTTCTAGGAAAGTATTTTAGCACTGTTTTGGGAGGCGATTCTACCTTCTCAATCTCCTTGACCTTTGCAAATTCTAATCTACATTTTTTTCTCTACAGATTGATCTATTATGGACAATTTATATAAGTGGAAGGACATAATAGATTCTCTTTTGTGACTTACTTCTTTCACTAGATTTGTCCATACTGTAGAATATTTTACTACTTCATTATTCCTTTATTACCAAATAATATGCAAAGTATGGATATACACAGGTATTTGAGTTGATAGTCAACTGATTTGCTATTTTTTATCAATTATGGATAATATCATGAAATTCACATACATTATATAGCTCTCATACCATTCTATCTTCTTTCTTTTGGTTATTGAAGATGCACCAGCTCACATGTGATATATATATATATATATATATATATATATATATATTTGGTATTTGGTACCAGGAATCAAACTCGGGACCTCACATTTGTCAACTAAGTAAAATGATTTACAAGGACTTTATTCATAGTCAAAATGCATTAGGAATACAGTGTGCAATTCATCTTTTAGTATTACTTTATCATGTCACTTATGTCAGAGTACAACCATTATTTCATTACAATGGTATGCATTACTGAAAGCATATTTTTAAGGAAAGGATTTTTTTATTGCCAGAAAGCCAGTAAAGGCAAATTTTAAAAGGGAATAAAAATTAGGACAGATGGCCAGGTGCTTCTGTTAGCTCTTATTGCTGATTACTAAATATGTTCAAAGTAGTGAGGAATAAAGGAGAACTGAAATTTACTTTCTGGTGCTATTTTGAGAGTACAGTGTTTATATGTACAATAATTTGAAATACAAATTAACAAAGTACAAAGAAATGTGATTTAATATTGCGAATTTACTATATGCCTTTTATATGTAATGAAGAATTCATCAACTAAGGCAAATATTCCACATGGTAAGAGAAAATATTAGAAATGTCTTAGTGAATTTAGTAGAAGAGAAATCATTTCATATGGAGATAACTGGAGTGAAAATATCGGGAATTTTTTTATAAAAAATCATTCTAAGTATGTATGATAGAGAAAAGATGACACAAATGAAGAGACTGATGGTTGCTTGAGTAAAAAGTATAATGTAGTAGCACAGGAAAATCTCCGATTTAAGTGTTGACATTCAGAATATTTTTAAGATGAAAATGATTGAATCTGGATGTAATTAACAGGCATATAAATTTGTTTTCTAGTAAAAAGACTCTTTTGCCCACAAAACAGCCATTAAAAACGCTTGAGTGTTAAGGGAAGGCTATGGATTTAATGACAAGATTAATACATTACTATTAAATAATGGACAGTTTGAGACATTCAAATGATTTCTCTCAACTGAATGTAGAAAGGCACAGCAACAAGTGTACTAAAATCCACTAGAGGGAGCTGATATTATTTAAAAATTTCACTTAAAATTCCCTACCAGCAAAATAAACATTATCTTAGCAAAGAACACATTGAAGTATAAGAAAAATCTATTTGTGTCTTTTGTTATATGTAGCTCATTTTATTTCTAGAAAGTTAAAAAGCTAGGATCTGAAGAAAGGTCCATGTATTTCAATATAATAATTCTAGAAATATGGTAAATATTTTGAATATTTACAAAAAAACAATAGGAAAATAACTTTTGCAATCAATTGAAGTTTTAGTAGAAACCAAACATATTATTGAACTTCTCATAATGAATTTAGAGAAGGAATTTAAAAACTCAGCTTCCCATTATACTCTTTTATTTGATATGTGCCCATAAACAAATGTACACATGTATAGTTGAAAACAAAATACTTTGCTGTTGCTTTAAGCTGTCCATGAACGTATCTCTCAGAGGAATTCTAAACTTAAAGATTAAACTGATGCATAGAAATATTTGTAAGCATAAAGTATGTATTAATATCCTAGAAGTAAACAAGTAAGTGATAAAAGAGACATAAGGAAAATATATCAGTTATATGCAATGTATTTGCATTACTGTTCCACTTTTATCTTTTTTTATCATCAAAGGAGAAAAGGAGGACTTTTATAATTACACTGATTAGAAAGTAAAGTAACCCAAAGAATTATTTGTCCTCTGCTGAATTTCAGTTTCGCACATGCACGCTGCAGTTATAATATTTTCATATGAATTGATACAAGTATTAGAAATGCCTATATAAATATCCTTGAAGAGGGCAGACTGAATTTAATGAAAGTCTACTCACAGAGCCTTAACTGTTCTTTTATTCTCGTCCCTATTTAAAATCCTGATTGTCAAATGTGCAGACCACCCAGGAGAGACTATGCCTATGTAAAACATGTTTTTGTGTTTGTTCTTCAGCAAAATCTTGAAATTTTTATGGGAGAAAAATACAGCATATCTGTCTTCCAGCACAAGTTATTTCATTACTTGTTAATAGAAGTTATAAGTAAGATTCAATTGACAGTTGTTATTCTTTTGTGTTAGTACTTTCTGTTCGCCACAAATAACAATTTTGGAATACTTTGTTTACTTCTTTAAAGTATTTTTACTTACTTGTCTGTAGCTCTTTCTCTTTGGCCTGCATATCAGCAAAGACTTGGTTAAAATGATTTGTAAAGGCCACAAAGTCTGCGTCCAGGAACATTGGTCCTTTCCCTTCCTCTTTCAAAGCTATGCTTTGAATTTTTAATCGCTCAATTTGGGATTGAAGAGCTGACATCCTTTTGACTTCATCCTGTATGGTAATTTAAAGTATTAATATAAAAACTTTTACTATGCATATATTACAGTTTGGCAAACAAAGTTGTAAAATGATAGTGATGCAATCTTAGCCTAATACTCTTAACAAATATTTAATTAGAAATATTCATGAAGATTTAGGCAAATTTCTCTCATAAGTTACCAATTCAATAATAGAATAGATACTTGTTCATTTTGTAACATCAGATATAATGATCTTTAATTTCAAGATGACGTCAATTTTAGATCACTAATAGGAACAAATCTGTATGACATAAAAGTACTGTGAATAACCTATAATTCTTTCCGTAACTTAAAAAGGAATATTTCACTGTACCCTTCTTAAATCAAAAGTCTGTTCCTTTGTTTTAAATTGTAAGCTTGTTTAATAGACAATGTGTTCTTTCAATTTATGTGTGTGAAATATAATTTATATGTATACATATCAATCTGTATATATAGTACATTTAGGTATGTAATTCATAGCATGCATATATATACAATATTAAATTACAAATACATAAACTATTAGATTAAATATGTCTATAATATTTGTATATATGAACATATATGTGTAGATATTTATATTTAATATATATTTAAATCTGTAATCAAACTTTTTATGGCCTCTTTACTTCTGATCAAACAGGCAATCGTCCCACTCTTTTAATTAGTATGAGTATTAGTCTGGGTTTTCTTTTGGCCTAGAATACATATTAATAACATCATCTGTTGTTTTCAGTGTACTGAAGGTTTGATGGCGAAATTGCGTAGATGCTGATGTGCTATATGATACAGTAGTCACTAGATGCATTTGACCACTGAGCATCTGACACGTGGCTAGTCCAAACTTACATGGGCTAGAATGTTTAAAAGGATACTGAATTTTGATCACTAGGTATGAAAAATTAAGAACATGAACTATCATACAGATTTCAAATCCTGACTGAATATTTAAATGATAATACTTTCGATAAAGCTTATAAAATAAATATATTAATGAAATTCTTGACCTGTTTCTTTTAAAATTTTCAGTGTCATCTGTAAGATATTGAAAGTTACTTAAGTGGCTTGAATTTGTGATTTGTACTTTATTAATTTTTTTGAACAGACCTGTTCTTCACTCTTTTCATACTCTTGTCTCCAGTGGAGCTACAATTAGTTTGTCTTTAATGTGTAAATAATACAATCTTAAAGAGATATTTTGAAATGTTTTTTGAAATTTATTATTACCATAATTCTTTACATATTATTTATACTTACAGTACCATTAGGAAAAAATACTTGACAATTGTTTATCATCTAATATGTAAAACCTAGGACAATTCCAATTAAAAATAGAATCATAAGCCAAATTATAAAGATGGAAAATTTAAAGAATTACAACAATTATGAACTAATTTTAAATTCAAAGTTGAAATAAAATAAATTGTTTATTTTGGATGCATACATACTTTTTTGGAGAAAGTGATTTGTGCTAGCATTGGCATAGATAAATGCATCACATAAATCCTTTTGTGGAAGTAAGCCTACATGATAGTCGGGGTCACTTGTTCTTAATTGTAGAAGGTATAAAGATAACTTTCAGTGGAATATTACTATGTGGTTATTACTATGTATGTTCAAGTAAGTTAATCCTTGATAACAGAAAACTTTTAAGGAGGTGAAGATTGAAAAATTTAGAAAAATCTGCAGACAAACCATGTCTCTCATTTAAATATAAATACTCTCAGTCATATGCTAGATGGTTAGTTCATATCCATGGATAAAGAATTAGATAAGAAATGAAGATAAATAATATTCTGTATTTTTTATTAGAGTAACACATATGCTTTTTACATTAGATTTGCAAATAGTAGTATTGGCATTTTCTATAAACATTGAAGAACCTGATTTGCATTTGGCCAGAGGAAGAACAGATATTTTTCCTGTTTAGGGAGTTCTAGGAGCTTACAGTATAATCAATTGTGCTGCACACAAAAAATAGAGACTCCAAGTCTAATAAAACATTTGGGAAAATGTTCAGGTGAGAATAAATCATGGGAGATATCATTTTGAATTGAAATATTCAATGTATAAAATACATTAATAATTATCCATAATTACCATGAAGGATTATACTTCAGAATAAAGCATTGTGCCTGAGTGTATGCTTCTTGCTGAATTATATTATCACCTGATAGACACTATTGTACTTTTTGTGAGAAAGGGTCATTGCTGGAGACCACTACTAAGTGGCTCTGAGCAGGATTTAAAATTAACTAATTAGCTTTCTATGTTTATCTGTAAGTCTGTCCTAGGCCTAGCTCCTTGCCTGGTGATGGGAGCTGATTTATAGTAAACGAACAGCTATGCATCACTTGTCCTGGCAGAGGCCTGCAGTGGCCTGTGGTGCCAGAGGTATCTCAAAGGGCAAGATAAGCTGAGGACATATGGCTCCAATCCCCACTAAGTGGATAGAGACTGCAGCTGCAGGCAACACACTCATACAGTCTCACTCCTACCCAAAATGTCATCATGGAGAGAAGATGGTTCTCCTAAATTGGCATAAGTTAGTATTTGGAGAAATCTTTGAAATGACTCCCAAGGACCTGCTCATTTCCCCTCCTTAATATCCCCTCTCTTCCTTTGAAAATGTAATAAATGTGGGTGGCCTAGAGAAATTGTTTGTCTTAGCCCTGTGAGTCAAGAACTCTGCAGAGGGTTTTGATACTCCTGGAGCCCTAAAATTATACCCTTTGTCTCATTTATTTGAGCCTTTATCATACACTTATTTGGGAGATCGCATATCTAGGCCAGATCCCGATAGTTCATGAACTTATTCCAATTCTGAAAAGGCTCTCTAGTTTTAAAACAATTGAAAGCCATTTCTGTTGAGTATTAGATTATAAACTGAATCAACTTTTCAATAAAAAAACACTGTCAAGTAACACAAAGAAATGAAACACGGGGTAAAATAATTTATTTAGTCATCTCCTAATACAGCCAAATAGTTATTTCCTTAGCTCTTGTGTGAATAATATTAAACTTATCCCTATAAATATTTTATTTAAACTGATCGTTAAATTTGGAAACAAAAGGGCAAGAGAGAAATAATAAAGAGAAATCAGATTCCATCATCAGAATCTGAAACTTTGTGGCTAGATATAGAAAATATATTTTTAATTTGTATGATCCATCAATACCAAGAGAACATTTAATACTTTCACCCTTGATCTCCATTTGCTCTTTAGTTTAACACTAAAAGCCTACCATAACACCAAGATCATAACATGTCCCCCAAATCATGGCTTGAAGATCTACCTATCTACATTTTCATCTTCCTTCCTTAGTCTTCTCTTTGACTCCTTTCTGCTCATCATCCAAATTGGCTTTCATTTGCTCCTCAATGCTCCATCATACTATGTTTCTTTTGAGTAAGTACCTTACCCCAGTTCTCTTGGTTGATGCCAACACGTTATAAAAGCCTCAATTCAAACTGCCCTCTAATAAGAAAGCTTTTTTGGGTCTCTGTCAATATTAGGGGTTTCCTGTTAAATATTCAGCACAACTGTGCACATTTGCAGAAGCATTTGTCCCAGTGAAAATTTCATAACTATTTATTCATTGGCTTAGTGCTCCTCTTCTCTACTCTATGTAAATAAAATGAAGCATGTGTCAGCAATGTTCACTACTCCGTTTAAATACCATGAAGCAAGTGTCAGTAACATTCACTGCTGTTTTCAAAACAAAGTGCTATGAATTGAACTATGCTTCCTCAAAATATACATGTTGAAGCCCTAGCCCTAATGATCTTTATGAGTATTTGCAAATAGGATTTTTACAGGGAAATTAAGGTTAAGTTGCCATCAGTGGGAGTCCTAACCTCCTAAGGTTGATGGCCTTATAGCCAGGAAACTCACTGTTGTTCTCATCTCCTGTGTATGCAGTCCATCATCCTTTTCCATGTACATGAGACTACAACTGCTGTATAAGTAGAAATTTTTAAAAGTTGACTATATACAAGTAAATATGAGAGATCTTGCCACAAGGTCAACTCTTCCAGACCTTGATCTTAGATATTCCAAACACTAGAAATCAAATAAAAGAGATTTGTATTGTTTAAATTACCCATTCAATGTTATTTGCTATGGCAGTCCAAGCTAGCTAAGACACTCAGTACCATCCTTGGTCACAATGGAGGTAATGCACTGAATACATATTTCATAGATGAGTGTATTATATAAAAGCTATTAATACTTTCTAAAACTAAATCATAAAATCTGGCTAAAAGAATATATTTTTGTATTAAGAAATAATATAAGGGAATGATTCTTCTAATTCACAGAAAAACAGATGGAATGTACAACTAAATGGAAAAATGTATCTAAATGCAGAAATTTCATAATGCACATCTATCTCTAAGTTGAAGTGCAATTCTATAATATATTCTGTATCCAAAATCATACTTTCTGAGTTTATTTCCTACTAAAATTTTAGTTCTAATATTTAAAGAAAAAAAGCATCAACTCCTTCAGTCGTTTTCATTTAAAAAGACCTTAGAATTTCGAGTAATGTTCTGGGTTCAATTTCTTTTTCAGTCATAACCCTGTCACCTCTCCATCGTCAGTTACACTTTATTTAAAGTATGCAAATTAACCTCTATTCATATTAAATAGAATCATCTCGATCTATTAATTAAATGTTCATCATATAAACCTTTTAATCCATCCTCTAATCAATATCCCATGAAAGTGTACAGGTCACAGTAATGATGAGAAAATTCAAGCTCTTTTCATAATTATATATTTCCAGTTTTCATACACTTGCAGATATGTTCTTTTAATCTACTTCTTCGGCTGGTTTGTGTGAATTCAATCATGTTGCCTTTTCCACTTCACTGGCTACCTTTTCGCTAAGACCCAGGAGACAAATTTTTACGTAAGAGGTCCTTAGCTTTGGCCATTTGGGATTGGGATTAAGGTGAGACAGAGGATAATCCTGTCCAGTACTGAAAGGCAGGGGGAATAAAGTGGGCTTCGTATTTCCTGGCTCCAATTCCATCAGGATGCCTTGGATTGTCTCTTAATCCTCCCGTTACTATGAGAATCTAACTCTCTTCTGAGATTCCAAAACTCTTCTTGATTTTTCTGTTCTAAGAGAAATTTTTCTGCTCTAAGAGATTTTTCTGCTCAGCAGCTGTGCTGCTGAGTTATGGACTATGCCTTGAGGTTCTTCAATACCCCAATCACACTCAAAATATTTCTTTGCAATAAAACCATATTCAAATTTTCCTAAATTGAGTGGGACATTTGTGTTAGTGATTTTCGTTAGGTACCCAATTTTATAGCATGTCCATGTGGTTGAATTGTGTTTTCAGCTATTATTATGGAATCCAGTTTTTCATCATATGAATGAACTTTGTTATTAGCAAAGAAAACCTCTAAAGTATAGGTTGTTTTTATAGGCTTCATGTGGTTTCAATCCTCCTTAAATGTACCATCCTTTAGCAAACTGATAAGGTCAATTAGCCTTTTGTAATTTCTCTACAAACAACTGTAACATTTCAGCATTGATATATTGCCTATTTGAACTGATTTTCTTTATTCATACTGTGATCTTTTCTATGTTCAGTTAAGTCTCTAGAGGTTGAGAATTTCATTAACGAACATTTTGTGATGCTCTTTTTGGTAATCACCAAGAAATGCCTGGCAATTATGATCCAAATAGAAGGAGGAAATATTCTTACCTTACAGATTTTTAACTGGCTTTTAAGTGCTGTTGGATCTGAAGTGGAGGTGGGTTGGGTTTTAAACCAGTTTTCAGCAGTGGTTGTCATCTGTTCCAGTTGTTGCAGCTGATTATAGAAAGTGATGATGCGGTTCTGGTACTCTAACCAGTTAAGTCTCTCACTTAGCAACTGGCAGAACTCTGTCCACCTGCTGTTCAGTTGTTCTGAGGCTTGTCTGATGCTGTCACCATTAACACCCTCTAGAAAGAAAAATTAAATATATTCCCTGAAGCCAAAGACAGAAATAGATGACCTGAAAATACACTGTATTTCGGTTTTAAAACTATTGTATCATACGAATGGTTTAAAATGAAATCATTTATGTACTAATAAAGTTCTAAAAGTATGAAGTGGTCTGATCATTGAATGGAATATTGAAGTTGGGTCTTATGACCGAATATGAATGCCATAAAAATAATAAATGAAGGAAACCTAGACCTAAGATTTTAAAGAATAGGATATATTTAAATAAAACCAAATTGTTACAGTGTGATGGGAGTGGGAAGAGACTGCTAATGAAAAAATAGTTTTGGATATTTCTAAATAAGCATTAAATATGTTGCATATTATAAAATTAATTTTCTAAAATTAATTTGCATTTTACTTTTAAAAACAAATATGACAATAAGTGGAACAATTATTTGCATTTTTATAAAAAGATTTATTCAACATCAATTATTCTTTATTATTGTGATAGTTTTCCAGCAAAAGATTGCTCATTGAGCCAGAAAAGGGAAACAAACACTCAAAACAACATATCTTTCTACTGCAAAAAGTTTTTCACTTACAAATGTGGAAGTTCATGTGAAACTTTAAAGATCACCTATAGCAAATAAAGCATTCTATACCAAGGATATGGAAATACAAGTACACTATTACCATTCTGGAGTAGCTATTATGTGTTAGGCAATATGCTACATGGTTTGGTAGATGATGTCTCATGGTATTTAAGTTGTATCACAATTTGATATATGCTGGAGTCAATTCAAGTATGCATTATTCTTACCCACGGCATGAAAGTACGGCAACATAGTCAATATTTGTTTGTGCCGTGAAATGGAGCACAGATACTTACACTTGGATATATAAATTTATATAGGACATCTCTAACAAATCACATTATATAAAGAAAAGACTCAATAGAATGCTGTGCTTTTAAAAATAGCCTCGAAGGCATAAATTTTTAAAAATACAAAACAGTTGAAAATTTCATATTTATTTTTGTACATACAGCATTCTCAAAAGAACCATAAGGTCACTGCAAAATTCTTCCTATCGATTAAATTATTTAGAGGGTGAAGTCATTTATTAGGAAACCAATTTATTTAAGAAAATTTTTAAGAATCAGTGTTCATTTTCTTAATTTCCTGGAATAAAATTAGTTAAAAGGTAACTAAATTCTTGAAAAGTCTGAAGGATATCTCCTGAAAATCTAAGGTCTAACATTTACATGTCATCCACCTTATTTGTTTTAAAGACAAAAATGTGGGTTTAACTCTAGCAACTATTTTACTTTTTCTTGCTTTGCTATATTCAGATATTATAATCATCAATTTGCTGTAATTATATTATGCTGCCATACCAGACTGCTCAACTCTTTTCAAACACAAAACTAACTTTAGCAATTTCAAAGTATTATACCACCCAGGATGACACCAGAGGAAATATTTTTCCAAATAGTATTGACTAAAATCTCTTTTTTGGTCAATACATTTTTAAAAAAGATATAATGGGTAAAAATGTAAGAAATAATATATTCCACTATAAAAAAGTCTGTGATTTACAGGAAACAAATACTATTCTAATGTCCTTTAATAATTATGAGAAAAATTGATCTTACTGAGTCACTTGGAGATATGATGTGTTGTGCTGTTTACATTGTTTTCTTCTGATCTGCTTAGTTCTGTTTTGTTTTACCCTCTTTAAAATAAAAATATATTATAAATAATAGTATATGTACCGGTGGTAGTAAAATAAAAATATGTGGCCCAAATAATCAGAGAAGAATGTGAAATTTCAACCTTGTAGACATTCAATTAGAGAAAAGCATTATGATAAACTTTAAAATTATTTCTGGGAAGTAAATGGCATGATTTAAAAATACACAGGTGAATTTTAAATTTTTATGTAATGTCTCAAAAATGTGCATGGATTCAACTAACAGATGTTTAAAAGGAATATGTTTAGCATATGTTGAACACGCAGTGATGAGAAGGAATTCCTCAATGTGTGGAAAGTCAATGTAAACCAAACATTCAGTAGGCAAATAAGAAATCCTAAAGTAAATTAAAGTGCTGTTCAGCTGATGCTGGTTTGAGCCTTATTTAACATTTGTCTGCATGGTAAGGGAATACAGAAAGAAATCTCTCCACTCCTGAGAAAGGGCAATCTTGTGAAAACTCGAAATTAAGGAACAAATACCATACATTTTCAATAGAAATAATGTACGTTAATTTTGCAAACAAAGTAAACTATAATGAAGCTAAAAAGGTTCTGTATATTATTAAAATTCAAGGAGTAAGTTTAAGTGAATTGTATAAGCCATTAGATAAAATTGTAAGTTGTGTCAAAAACTCTCTGGATGGTAAAAATCACCATAAAAAGAATTACAATAATGGAGAAAAGTTAACTTCACACAAATTTATAATACTGGAAACAAAAATAGTTAGACATATATTGATCTTGTAATGGAATATAGGACAGTAAAACAGAGTAACTGATAAAAGAAGCACTTTCATATTAAGATACAGAGGGAATTGTTAGAATGGCATAGAAATTAACAGCAAGAACTAGAGTTGAACTTGGATGTATCTTACTAGATGAACGGAGAAGGCTCATTTGCATAATCTTATTGGGTTTCATTGTTCTCATTTATGAAATGTGTATACAAATACAATCAATTTTATGAAGTCTCTGGGTAACATATATGATGTATTTAGGCCAAATCTTACATATACTAAGCAACCAAAAATATCAGAGAGTCTTCATTATATAGAGAATATGAAAAAGATCAGGCAGAAAACAACAGATTAGATTTCTCAAGTGTTAAATTTAGGATGAGAGGGAGTCTTCATGATGAAAGGGGTCATTTATGAAAAACTGATTAGTAATGTTTTTAAAATTAGTATGGATTTTAATAGAACTAAATGAAATTTATAAGGTATAGTATATATGAATGTGCTTAAGGAAGTTATATCAATAACTGGTGATGTAATACCCAGAATTTATCGGAGAATTTTGGAATGTTTATTTATTTATAATAATTTAAAATTAAAAATAAGGATAAACACATTAAAAGTGAAAAACGAAGTTTGTCTCCAACAAAAGCACAATGCTGACCACATGAAATCAAGTCTTATGAATGATTTATATGTCACATTGTATTAAATCATACGTAATATATTTGCTGCTAAATTTGTGCATAACTTGCCCTAAACTACAAACCCATCCCACCTCTATGTGATAGAGTATGTGATAGAGTTCTCAGACAACTGTAGAAACATAATGACTACACTGTATTTGTGAACTCACTCAACACATGATCAGTAGCTTACTCCCTATGAAGACAGATGTTAGGAAAGCAATATATACAGAAACAAAATGTCACACCAAAGCAATCATGTAATCTCTCTTGCTTCAAGTTTGATTTAAAATACTTAGGGGATCAGAAGCACTGCACATGCCATATTACTTAAATTATCTCTATTAATTTAAATCTTAAAATATTATTTTTGCTTCATGAATTAATATATCATATGCATGTGAGTTCAAAGGTAATATTTTTAAAAGGGTCCTTAAACATTTTTCTAGAACAAATAATATATCAGTTTTCCAAATGAATATTTTCATATGAAAAAATTCTGTATTGTATGTAATTCTTTTATTAATTTCATAGAATCATACTGCCTAACTCAACTGAAAATTTTACTATGTATGACAGTTTGTAAATGTAAATATCTGCTAACTATCAATCATTTGAGCATCCTTTTTCTCACTTTTTGTCAGCTGTTTTAAGAAAAAAAAAACACTACTTTACCAGGCATTCTGAACAATACATATAGAAACCATTTTGCTGTGGCACATTAGAGTCGCAAGGAAAATGGATCATAATCCATTCACATCCCATATTCTAAACAACCCCTGAAATAGTCCAGCAATCAATATATTGTACCCAGTGGAAATGAATCATTCCTTGAAGTGCATTCATTAATTTTATTACTTGTGTACAGTGCATAACAGACTGTTAGAATAATTTTAATTGTGTACCACCTTTCATGCAAGTACTTCAGAAATGCCACTTAGAGTAAAGTATTAGTCATTCAGTATATTCATCATTTACCGTGCAGCTAGGGTACAATAATGTAAAAGCTGGTGTTTTCAGTGCTCTTGAATTAAGAGTATTTGGAATAAGACCTTAACGTTGCTAATAAATAGTCTCCTGTTTTTGTTGCATTTTAGATGAGGGTCAATACAAATCCACTCAGCATTTAATATTGTAGCCTAACATGTAATAAAAGTTTATTTAGAATTCATGAATACCTAAGGTTAAATTCTAGAGATTTTATGACCTCACTGATTTTTATATAATTGTTAGAAACTTTTAAAAATAACACCTTTAAAAATTTATATATTAATATATATATGCACACATATATATTGAGAGTGATAACATACAGTGAGAGTTATAACATATGTTATATATATGTTATATATAAACATGGATGCTATATATATATATATATATAATGTACATGTTTGTATATATAACAAATATTTATATATGTTATATATGTTTGTGAATGTACCACATTTTTCACTGTTTCTATTTCTAAACATGGAATTCTAAGAGAAATATAATTTGATGGTATTTGTTTTTTAACACTGATATTTACTTTTTCCACTGATTTTCCACAACCACAGTAACCATTATGATATTCTCTTTCATACAGATGCACACACACACACACACACACACACACACACACACACAAATGGAGGCATTCCTCCTTTTGGAAATTATTGTGAACTCAGGGAATTATGTCTATCAATTAGTATTTATTGGTTGTAAATTCTGCATAGAAAATTACTTATAATAGCACGTGAAAAGGAAAACACAAATTGCACACACTAAATAACAAACAAGAAAAGGAGTAATGTGTGTGGTTTTGGAAAGACATTCATTCACCTTGGAGGGGCTGGA